TGAAACGCATATCATAGGTGGCACATGGAGCCTTCTCTGCGGGCATGCGAGGCATAACCTGAGCTCAACTCCACCGTGCATGCTTGTGTCCCTGCCGCCAGTTGATTTTCCGGTCGCTGCCATACATGAAGGGGGGAGACACATGCAGAAAACATGTGTGCATGTGGGAGGTGGGGGCATGTCCACATGTGGGGGGGTGGGAGAAGCATGGGGGGCAGCGCCTCCCCATGGCCTGTTTTTGGTCTCAGGAGCCTTTAGGGAGACCTGCTAGGCCCAAAAAGGGGCATGGGGGGGGGGTGTCACACGTACATGTGAAGGGGGGGTAATGCACAGTGGGATGTCATGTGTGCATTGCATTGTAAGTGTGGGCACCGCACACACCAGTGATGGGTTGCAGGTGGTACGCCCCATTTCAGTACAGTGTTCCGGAGGGCCCACCCGCCCGCCTGAGCTCCTTACCTGTCCTTTAAGCCTTTGGTGCTTCCATGCACATGCATGGCGCGTATGGCGCCTGCACGATGCTCTGCCGAGCAGGTGGAGCATCGCGGAGGCTTGCAGAGACATCACAGGCAGGTATGATGCACGTGCGCGCCGCTTGCATCCATGTGGGCGATGCTGGGCTTGTTCCAACTGTACCAGTTGGAACAAGATCCGGAACCCACCACTGGCACACACGCGTTGTTGCGCACGCCTGTGCACTTTCAGCATGTGACGACAAAAAGGTTAGCCATCACTGCAGTAGACAATATTGAACTAAGCAATTGAAAATGTCTAAAACAGTTTCCTATGTTCTGTCTTGAGTCCAGTTGCATTGTAGAGATAATATAAAGACAAGAAGCTTAAAACAGGAAACCTAATTTCTTCAGATAGATCTGTGCACCATCCCCTCCAAACAACATGATAGTTGGCAGTAATTCCAGGAGCTCTGCGGAGCACTTGGATAGGAAATGTCTATGAACTAAGTTTGTGAATAAGGACAAAATTCTTTCAATACAGCAACAATTTCAATACTAGTCTTACACCTTTTCCTGATCCGATGCCCTCTAATTGTCTTGGCCTTCAATCCCTGTAATCTGCCAGCTAGTAAAAGATGGAATTATGAAAGTTGATATCCCAATTCATCATATGGTATAAGAATTGGAAAAAATGTTTTTTTTGGTAATCAAAACATTTTTAGCCTACTATTCTTGATGAGTCTTACATCCACAGTGGATTTGAAGGAAAGGAGGATTTGGCATGCTCTCTAAAATCTGAAATATTGGAGCAGGAAATTTTCCAGTGATTGCCTTTTTTCTTTCTTTCTTTCTTTTTTTTTTTGCATCTGCAGCTCTCTCTTTAAAAGTCACACATAGTTTGGAAACTGACAGATTTGTTTTCTTCTTCCCCTAGGGTGTCTCCTCTGCAGAAGTCAGAAATAGTAGACATGGTAAAGAAACATGTGAATGCCATCACTCTGGCCATTGGGGATGGTGCCAACGATGTTGGAATGATCCAGACGGCTCATGTTGGAGTGGGGATCAGTGGCAATGAAGGCATGCAGGCAACCAACTCTTCTGATTATGCAATAGCACAGGTTAGATGCCTACAAAGAAACAGCTGCCGTTTCCTGTTGAAAGGGTGTTGGCTGCACAGACAGCATAAATACTTCACTGCTGATGTGGAAGCCAAGCAAATGTCCTCCCCCCCACCCCCTTTTCTTTGAGGATGCTGACTTAATGCAGAGAACTTGTAAATGTGTGTGCAATACCTTCCATTGTACTGGGCCAGGAGCCATTTCATCCTAAATGCTGAAATTTCTTTTCCCCCATCATTGTGTTTCAACCATATTTCCAGTAGTCTAGAAGATGACTCAAACATTGCAGCTGTTAAAATGTCCTCTTCCTCCTCCTCCTCCTCCTCCTCCTCCTCCTCCTCCTCCTCCNATTTTAGGATGATTTAATGGAATGTTATCATATAATTCCATTCTAGATTTTGAATATTATATATAAAAGGATGTAAAACAATTATAATCAAATTAAGGTTGAGATATAATAATTGTAACATATACGAATATAGGTGAATTAAAAATATGCAATTTGATATGAAAAGCAGGTGGTGACTATGAAAGAGATGCATGGAAATACTGTAACCAACTGACACACTTTCTACAATTTGTAATGGAAGATGGTTTTTTTATTTTTATGTTTGTTTGTCCTTGTTTAAAAACAAATAAAATTGTTTAAAAAAAAACAATTTATGCCCTTATAATCCCCATCCAAAGTACTTGGAGTAACATTGTATCAAACTCTTTCCTATAAGATACACCTAGAGAAAACAGTGGCAAAAATCAATACTAAGAACAACATACTCCAGGGTTGATCTAATCCACAGCAGAATACTATGCCCCTGTATGGCTTAACAGCTACCATACTAGTTAGATAGATGCCAGATTCAGTGACACCTTGAGGATTATAAGCAGATGTATTAAAACCACTCCGAATTGCTGGCTTCTTGTTCTGAGCCATATAGCACTGCCAGCTTTACAAAGGCAAGATGCACTAGTGAAAGAATACAGAAAAAATTATGAACGTCTCACTCCTACCAATGCATGCTGACTTTCCTCATTTATCAGCCGGAAAAGTCAACCCTGAATATGATTCGCACCTCATATGGCATCTGCATAGTATGCTCCTTTTGGTGTAACTAGGGTCACACATCAAACTGTAGATCACATTCCTAACTGGCTGTAAGTTGAGGGCATATACCAGTCCAGTATCTGTTTGCTATCACAGTTGTAAATTTCAACAGTTTTCATAAGATCTTTAAGCTTTAAAAGAGAATGTTTTACTTAGATTTTTGCATTGGTTAAGTGATTACAATGGCATTCTTAAAATGAAATATATTAAATGACTGCCAACTTTTCATTTTTTGATTGTGAATATAAATTCATTATTTTAAGCCATTTTGTGATTTTTGTCTGCTAGTTAGTAATAATTTACAGATCTAGATCTAAACATAAAATGTAAGTATTGGATACTATTGGATTGTTTTTTTTCTTAGAGAAATGAATCTCTAATATTTGGACTGTATAAAGAACAAGCTGTAAGGCTTATATGGCTGCCTTTTCAGTGCTTAGACATGAACAGAAGCTGATGTTGCTTGATTTAGCTTGGACTTCCTTAAACCAGTTTATTCTGCTTTACTTCAGGCTTAGTCACCTTCAGAAACAGCAGACTTCATAAATTAAGTCTGCTGTTCCACCTTTAAGCACTCCTAGATTGTAGTCAGTAGCAACCAGGCTGCAATAATTTCCCTTTGATGACATCATCGATCGTGGAAGAACGGAGTTGCTGCAATAAGCCGCACACAGTCCAAATCCTGATTGAATATGGCAGCTTCTCGGTCTGCTGCTGTGCTATAAGAAACGCTGTGGCTGTTGTCCTCTTAAAACTCCTTTTGTCAAGCTCATGGAAGTATCTTCTGATCCTTATTTACCATACGATGGGGGAGGAGATGGCATTCCATTAAGAGAGTTGCATAAAAGAGGTATAGCAAATTTGTGTTGTGATTTAGTTTCTTTTATCTTTTTGTCATGTGGCCAGTTACTTTCAGAGTGAGAGAGAAGCTTTTTTTAATTTTTGTTTTTGTTTCTTTTAAATACTGCATTTTTGGCAAGCCTCTCATTTGTTTTACACTAGATCTACCTACATGGATTGTGCTTCCTTGTTGATAAGCCATTTTTTTCTTAAGATCATCAGCAAGCGACTCCATCTTTGGTATCTGGTTTTCTTTTTTTAAAAAACAGAAGACTTAAGCTTTGATGTAAATTGTGTAATATTACCCCATAGCAATGGCTGCTAGAATAACTAGAATGACCAGAATTAATCAAGGAAGCTATTTTGACTCCTCAGTGAAAGAGAATGCTGTTCATACTGGGCGTTGAAGTCTCTCTACGTGCTGTTTAGCATTAACTCCTTCATGGCATTCTGAATGTCTGGTGAAATATGAATTTACTGCATGATTTAAAACAAGTCCTTCATTGTAAAAACAAAATGGGTTATATTAGTTTTTATTTGCAATCTTTGGAAGTTTTGATTTCAATGCTATTTTTTCTATTGATATGCCATTAGAAACATCGTTTGCTGTAAAAATATTTTTATGCCTTTTCTTTTATCAGGTGCTTTGAAGCATTGTTAGAGGATGAGCAGTTTTCAGGTTATGGGAGAAGGAGAGGGATTAATTCGAGGAGCTGACAATTCACAGCAAGTCTGTTGTTCAAATAGTAGCAGACATGTATTTTTCTGGTTAATATGGCTGTTACAGTCTAAAGAAGTGATTGTGACATGGAGTGATTATGCAAAACAGCACACAAATATGATAGGCAGTTTTTAAACATTTCTTCTTCCAGTTCCAGCATTTATCATGGACGCTGCTGTCTTAGCTTAAAACTATGAGCTAGAGGAAAAAGAATTAGTAAAGTAGCACTAGTGAAGCTTTCTATTATATTTCTATAATATGGAGCTTCCATGAAACTTTCTCTTTTAAATGCTTTCTTTTCAGCACCCCTGTATAAACTAAATTAACTAAAATAAAATCTTACTGACATTTATTTCAAAGATGCGTGGGCTTTTTCTGATAACTTTATTCATACGTATAATGAATAAAATCTTTAAATAGGATTAGGGTGTGCCTGGACTTTGCTCTAAATGTACTAAGACTGTTTATGCCTTTCGTTTCGTATTTATTTAAAATTGAACAGTAGGTTATCTTTTCTGTGACATAGCAGATTGAATTCTTATATAACCAGACAAAGTAAACTTCTGGTGAACTACTGCTAAAAAAAATGCATATGACTGTCATATGGCATTTAAACTGAAAGAAATGCTTATATATTTAGTGAAAGAATACAGAAAAAATTATGAACATCTCACTCCTACCAATGCATGCTGACTTTCCTCATTTATCAGCCGGAAAAGTCAACCCTGAATATGATTCGTACCTACTAATATATATATATATATATATATATATATATATATATATATATATATATATATATATATGTATGTATGTATGTGTGTA